TTATATTCTTTGCAACTTTATTATTATGATGGTAATACAAATCATCATTGTTAGAAAAAAAAAATATAAATTGATAAAAAATTCATTGTCAGCTGACACTCGAGTTACCTTTCATCCATCCATCTGTCTTACGTGAATAAAGATTCAAAGTAGGAAAATATTAATTTCCTTCTTGTTTATTACGACAATAAAAATAATTTTTAATTTTTTTTATTATAAGAAAGACTCAAATTTTCTTCATTTTCTTTACGATAAGGATGATAATCATAAATTTTCTTTCTATTCTTTAAGGTATAAAAACATATCATAAAGAGAAAAAAAAAAAAAGGAGTTGACTCTCTTATGAAATTATTCGAACCCATAGTTAGGGATCAAGCGATAAGAGATCGGATCGAAAAACCTCTCTCGACCTTGGGAGCACGATATTTTCACCTCGAAAGTATAGTATTTTTATCTCATAAACATCTTAAATATTCTTGTATATATGAATTTGGATCATATTGGACCGATCAAAATGATAATAATAGAATTTTTCCTCTAACACACAAACATAAAAGAATTTATCGTCAATTTAGCTTCACGACCCTTGTTTACCATATGAACGATGGCTGTGTAACAATCAATTTACATGAAATATTGACTGAAAATTTTACCACATCAACCAATCATTTGTGGTCAGCAGACTCACCGCCCACTCGTCTATCTCAAACTTGAATGCTCCAATGATGATTGATGGGTGACCAACCAAACCCCGCTCCCTCTTCATAGATTCCCATCAATGCCCCTTTGTGGACCCCTCCCACTCCTCTCTCTCCAATTATTCCCTATGTGGACTCTAACCAGCCACCTTAATCGGACTCCTTCCTTCTCTCCTCCCTCGGCACCCATTTATTGCTTGCATCACAGAACTGAAGCTGATAGCCCTCCCTATATATTAATAATGCTCCTCTCGCCCACTCCTCCTTCATTACCTTCTCATCTCCCTCTTCCCTTCCCCCTCTTTCTACTATGCATCTTTCCTTGGCCATAAGTCTTGCCTCCGCCGCCGTCGTCTTCTCTATTGCCCTCGTTTCCTTCGCCTACTTTAAGATGTTCCGCAGGTACAGGATACCCCTGTGCGGCTGGTGCCGCAGGTCCGACGACTTGGAGCTCGGCCCCGCCCAGGCCCGCGTTGCCGACGGCCCCGAAACCGTCCTCGGCAAGGAGAAGAGCTCCGCAGCCCGGCGGTTCGGATGGGCCGAGATCGAGTCGGTCACCGGGAAGTTCGCCCCCCACGCGGTGGTCGGCGAGGGCGGCTCCAGCACCGTCTATCTCGCCTGCCTCCCGGACTCCTCCCTCGCTGCCCTCAAGCTCCACCGCCCCAGCGAGCGCCTGCACCGCGCCTTCCGCCAGGAGCTCGATGTCCTCCTCCGCCTCCGACACCCCCACATTGTCCGCCTCCTCGGCTACTGCGACGACCGCGGTCCGTATCTCGCCCCCTCCCTACGCTTCCCCCCTCTCGTCTCGTCTTCTCCTACTTGGCTGAAGGCTTTGGGTTCCCGATCGCAGAGGAAGAAGGCGTGTTGGTGTTCGAGTACGTGCCGAACGGGAGCCTCCAGGAGAGGCTGCACGGCGACGGCGAGGTGCTGCCGTGGGCGCGACGCATGGCGGTCGCGTACCAGGTGGCGCAGGCGCTGGAGTACCTGCACGAGGGGTGCGACCCCCAGGTGGTGCACGGCGACGTCAAGGCCGCGAACGTGCTCCTCGACGGACGGATGGAGGCGAAGCTGTGCGACTTCGGGTCGGCCCGGGCGGGCTTCTCTGCGGCGGTGGCTCCCCCGCGCTCCGCCCGCGCCATGATGGTGGGTTCCCTGGGCTACGTCGACCCGCACTACCTGCGCTCCGGGATGGTCTCCAAGAAGAGCGACGTGTACAGCTTCGGGGTGCTGCTGCTGGAGCTGGTCACGGGGGCGGAGGCGTTCGACGCGGGCCGGGAGCTGCGGCTGACGGCGGCGATGGGCCCGGTGCTGCGGGACCCGGAGGGGAGGGCCACGAAGGCGTTGGACCCCAGGCTGGGCGGGGACTACGACGCCGGGGAGGCGAAGGCGGCTGTGGACGTGGCGTCCTCGTGCGTCGGCGACAACCCCGGTCTCCGCCCATCCATGGCGGACGTGGTCAGGATGTTGCGGGACAAGGCATCGTCTTCCATCGCAGCCGTTGCATCAAAATCTGACGGCAAAAGTGATTTGTAGATTAGGGGGTCACATCTGTCATATAACCATTATGTAAATTAGATAGCCGTAGTGGGAGAGAGAGAGAGAGAGAGGAAATATATGGATGTATACTGCAATTGTGAAATATCGTAGGGGGTTTTGGGTAAGTGGAGACATGCAATTATCCAGAAAGGTCCATTTGACATTTATCTCTGGAAGAAAAGCCACTCCAATTAAATAATCAACCCATAGGGTCCAAAAGATGGCACATACATTTCATGCTGATATCATCATCAGGTCATTAATGAATATTATTATTATATATTAACACGTCCTTTTTATGGTATCAAATTTTATTCTCATTATATTCGGGAGATGTGCAGATGTCAAAAATTAGGCTAAAAATATTTACAGTTCAAGTACAACTTTAAATCAGAGGGGGAATAAAAAAGCTCTCATAATTAAGGTTTATTCTTATTTGTACTATGTGAGATCGATCATACATGCGTGCATGGTGTGAATTCCAAACCTGGAATGACAGTTGCAAGTGCCACATCGGGTGGGCCATCTGCTATCGTCTTCTCTCCCTCTCTGTAATGGTTGCCACGTCGTGACCGCGTCAGATCTCACATCCGACTCGATCAGCGAGTGGCCGTGAATTAAAGACCCGGCGATCAATGTGACCCCCATATCGAAAGCTACTGTATAGTATAATGGAGGTCTGTCGTTGACATATCAACCGTTCCATCGATGAGCAAATAGGGACAGCTTCAGTATTAGAACAAAGAAGAGAAGACGAAGCTTGTTTTTGGTGTGAGGAAATACGTAGGCGGAAGGAGAAGGGCTACGTAGTGGTTGAGAATATTAGTGTCGACCCAGGAAGAAGTGGAGTGTGACACTTCAACCGAAGAATCCATTAAGGAGAAGAAAGAGAAGGGAACGGTGTGTGTTAAAGGGGTGGCTTGCTCGGTGGAGATGCTGCTGCTGCTGCTTTAAACCTTTGATCCCCTCGAACTTTATGCCTAGTCCAACTCTACTTTTTGTGTTGCTTTACTTGCCACTGTCTCCCTTGGGTCCTTGTGCGCGCACTCGGTCTGGCAAAGCAGAGGAGTTCCAGTTTGGTGCCATGGGTTTTGTTCCGTTCCTGGCATGCCTGCGTGAACCGCGCAGAAACTCAAAATTATTATTGTCATTTAGTAGCTCTGGCCGTAGAGAAATGTCAGCTATGGTCCGAAGAGCAAAGTCAACCATACTTCGTCTTCCTCCCGCATCTCCGGTCGTCCGTGAGCTGCGACAGGGGAATGAGGAACCGAGGAAGGGAGAGGGAGGTGGTGCATGTGGGATACATGCGAGCACATGGACTTCTCTTCAGCTTTAATAAGGGTTGTCACGGAGGAGGGGAGCAAAGACTTGAGAAGAGGGAATGGCAAGTCCGCACACTCAATTCATGGTGGACATGTGATAGGGTGTGTGACTTGCAGCTCAAAAAGCCACACAAGTCCCAGCTTTGCAGAAAGGTACTAAACAATGAGCGAAGGCCAAATAGTGCATTATTATGGGTCTTCTTAATAATGAATGCCCATGTGATTTTTCACCTACATAATATACTTTATTGCTTAGGCAAATAAAAGAGACTCGGTAGAGTGTGCTGTGATTCCAAGTAATAATACGAGCAACTCCAATATCCAGCTCTGACTCTGATCTGTTCAGAATCTGCTTTAAGCAAACACTCACATGCTTCCCCTTGCAGGCCATTCATCGACATACCAGCGGTTGCTTCCTGCCATGGATTTGCTTTATGTTTGGATGCATTATGGCGGCCGGAAGACGTCGATGTGGATCACTTTACTGAAGCTGCTGGTACGGTCACAGATGAAGGATGAATGATGGGGTGGTGGTGGCGGTGGTGGGGGTAAATGCTGTGAAGATAAGCATGAACATAAATGTCTTTTGCCGATGCCAGCGCAGCTGCTGCATAGCGGCGACTCGAGAAAGCTGTGCATTATTTCTGATCTGTGAAGTTCCACCGAGTTCCTATTACAAAGTGAATTATAGTAACGTCGTAGAGAGAGATAAAACAGGAAAGGCACACAGATTTCTTAGAATTAATGTTTGAACCATACCATCGGTAAACTAACTCTACAGGGATGACATTCCCGGTCGTATGTTTGTCACCAACGCATACAATACAATTATAAGAACTCATGACATCCAGCGTGATCTGTTCATATGCCGACACAAATATATAAATCGATTGGTGTCATTTTTCTATGAACGCTGTTTTGGGCAGGTGGATGAGTCGTGAGAGCCCTCCCAGAATGTGGAGGTGTTAACAGTTGTTCCGAAGAGGGAGGGGAGGGGCTCCGGAAGTCATAGGTTTGAGACGGCCACCGTGGATGGTGATGCTGAAGCTAAATTATTGTGGGTCTCATGAAGCATGTCAGAACTGGAAATAAAATCTAGCATTCTTGCATGTGATAGCAGCAGAATTATGTTTGGTCCATCATTTGGCCGAGCCTAAAAAGCTATGTCAGATCGTTAAGAGTACCTCCAAGCCTTTTAAGATTTTTAATCTCGAATTATGAGCTTGCGGATAATAGATAGAACTCGACGACTTAGCCACATGCATCAAAATTACTAGTATTATCTTTGCACCACTTTCACCATCTTCGTATGCAACAAAAGCTGGTTTTGTTCTACAAATGCTGTCGTGGTATCGACTGTCCATAATAGAGTTCCGTTTATTATAATGAACAGTGCAAACCAAATCATAACACTACAAATACTACGCAAAACGGGCACGGTAGATTATATACATCACATAATACTACAAATTTACAGCACAAATTGAAGTACAACCAAAACATATAACATGCTTTTTCAAACTCATCATCAACGTTAAGGAACTTTGCTAGCCCAAACCCAACAAAGCAATAAAAACCCATAGAACAATCCGACGGCATCATGACCTGATGTCATTAATACTGTCATGTGTTACAGCGGATGCTCTAAGATTGCAAAGCAGAGCATCACGTCCCCTTAAAATAATTTCGAAGAAGTCATTGACTTGATTTGAGAGAGAACCTAGCTCATGGCCAAGCTTCTTTGCCGCGCCGTCCAAATTGGTAACACAGCCTTGCAACCTCCATCTTTCAAAATCAGTGTTCTTCCCTGGTGCAGGCACTTCATCTGCACGAGTAATGCCACTTGTATCTTGTACAGGTTCTTCCTTGCAGCTGACACGGTTGGCCAAATCATGTAACTGTGAAGCACATATTTTGACTGCTTCTATCTCTTTGAACAGTACCACCTTCCCACCGACAACTTTTCTCTCTATTTTCTCATTCACAATAGCTTGCAAGTCACTGAAGGCCTCAAACCAAAGGAAATCAGCAGAAACATGCAGGTCTATCAGTGCTCTTGAGCAACCTGAGAGTGATGCTGAAAAGATGCCACAAATAAATATAGTCATGACCTTAACTCCATATAAGGCTCTCGTCAGTGCCTTCCCTTTGGAGCTCTTGACCTTAGGGAGATCAAGAGTTCCTTGATGAAGACTCTCTACGACGACAGCAAAGTTGTCTAGTTTAGGGCTCTTAGAGATGTGTTCGATCCATTCATGAAGATATGAATGAGCTCGTACAAGCTGTTCAGACGAAGGATAACTAGCCGAGATGTCCACTAGATGCAGCACATACTGAAGCAGAAGTTGGCCTTGATCCAATCTGGACAGCTCGGAGATTAATGCAATGCAAACATCAAGCAATTTCACACTGCTGTCCAAATATATGCTGATCCATTTCTCATCCCAGTCAGAAACAGGTAACTGAAGCTCATTAATGAAAGTTCTTATGCTATTATGAGCATCTGATAAGAACTCCATAGCAAGACTCATCCAAGATAGAGTAAGAACATCAGCGGCATCCTTAGGCTTGAGCTTTTTCAAGTTTTCTGCCAGACCTTGCTCGAACGAAAACAATAATTCACGAATCTTCAGCGATTGGGAAGATCTTTTGGGGGAAATAATCCAAAAAGGATTTCCAAAGGGAAAGAAAATCCGCTGTCCATCATGCGGTCGACTCATGTTGGTTCAACTGCTAACCAGATAAAAAATATTCTTCAGAACAGCAAGCACACACAAATAGAACAATCAAAACAAAAGCTGGAAATCAGGATTAAGTACTGCCATCGCAAATAGATTTCTTTTCCCATGGCACCTAGCACTCAAGAATATAAAATCTTCATCTGGCACTTCTGACTGCTGGGTTCACTGAGCATCTACATGAGTAGCTCTAGGCAAGCTTATCTAGGGATCAACAATTAATATGCCTAAGCCTTTGATGCATACATGATAATTAACTTTTGATTCAGAGAATTGGGAACATACAAGTTTGTCAAAGGTCAATTTGAAGATCTTGCAACATTCTATTAATCAATGTCTTTGCGAATCTGAATCTAGGTTTATGTTCCAAGGAAGCCAATAGACCTAATGAAACAAGTTTAGAAAAAAGCATTTAATTGAGCATTCCTCATCAGGTCCAGATTGATCAGTTGCTAAATTTCGAAGCCCTCCAAATATCACTCCTACATCAATCCCCCAACATTTTGATGATACTTTTCCCTTGTATATACTTGTTAAGCAAGTAGGAAGGCATGGCACCTGCACTAGTATGCTTCAAATATCTTGTTATCTACTGCCAGAAGAATGTTAATGGTCACTGACACAAGGTTATCTTGAAATTCTTTTCAATGTATAAAGAACTGATGACCAAAATATCTATGAAGGTTTTAGGTAGACCTGACCACGTCACCATGGTTACAAAACCGAGGGTTCCGAAACTGGTAACCAAAAGCATCCTATTCAAGTGGGTCTTGACTACTATTACTCCCAAAGTTCTAAATTTAAAGAAAGAAGTGGGTATAGGATGTTTAGGAAGCACATTGAGAAAAAGCATCTTTCTCAAGCAAATCTTGACAAAAACCATAGTCAAATTTCCAGCTACGTAACTAACCCTTCCCAAATATTTCATTTTTTTGCTAAAAAAATAAAGGAATTAGTAAAATTTATTTTCCATTGAACATTTCTCTTTCAATTTGTTAAAAAAATATTTTTTATTAATTATTATCAAAATACTTTAAATCATGTCGCAAAACCTGTTCATAGGATCACTCTCACATGCACCATCACAAACTTTATAAAAAAGGAAAAGTTTGTAAAATTTATTTCGATCTTCTGATGGACCTATTGCTATTTGTAGTAGTATTTGGTGCGATCATTAGCAAATGCATTATTCCATAGAAATTACACATCATTGGATTAATAGCGAGCACTATGAAAAATAGATTGATCGCCTTTAGCATTTTTTATGATAGACATTCAGACGACAATATTTATAGAATGATAAAAACCATTTTGAAATAGTATAATTTGGTTTTTAATTTTTAAATTTTTTTGATAATGCATATTTAAATATTGCATCTAATCCTGAATTAGAATAAATTTGACAACCGACCTTGGTAAATTTATTTCATATTAGATGTACATGTCATATTTTAAATTTATGTGTACAAAAATGTTTTAAATGTCTTGATATTTTTTACTTGCTCATTAAGCAAGCAATTTTTTTTTTTTTTGTGGGCACATCCACAAGTAATGAAAGAGTAGACAAGATTTTGCAAATCAAATTGAAAGAACCAAAAGATTTTCAAAAATATTTCTTTCCGATGGAATTCAACATATGACTGAATTATTTAATGAGAGTTTTGAATATAAAAAATTATTATATACCTTTGTTGTAAATAATGTGAGACAAGTGAATTTATATGCTCATTATTGTAATGTTTATAAAAAAAATGTAGATATTTTGAAAGTTTTTAATAATGCTTCTTATATTTATGTTCATTTTATGTTTATTAACCTACAGCTCATTGAATAATTGAATGTATCAATGTTATTAACACTCTAAATGAAATATAAAAATGATAATGAGTTGAACTCGATCATTAAGGTAATAAAGACTAAGTGGCTTAATTCTTTCGGAAATTATTCTACTTATTTATCATGTTGCTTCTATTTTTGGTTTGCATAATTATTTGGATATTTATTAAGATTGTTCACACTTAAATGTTGATATTAGTTAAATATGAGACAAGCTAGAAATATGATCGTTGGCTACCATTATAGTGTCATTTATAATAAACAGTATACCCCAACCTTCTCAATATATAGATAAGATGATAATTATTGTTGCAGAAAGCTAAAGAAATCTAGAGAATCAATAGGCTCGAACTCCAAACTTGATATTTATCTAACCACTTCTTTTGAATAAGATTGGTCACAACTATACAGTTTGAGATTTTCCAATTCTTAATGGTGAGCACTGTGTTCAACAACCTTTCTAGTTTTATCAATTATTGTTAAATTCTCGTGTCAACACTATAGCTGTAAAGCAAACTTCTAGTGCTGGAGGATGTATATAGGATGAGACTCATTTGAGTATGACCCTTGAATCAGGTAAGACCTAAACATATGTTGATGATTGGACCAACGAAGCCAAGGATCCAAGAGATCATCCGAGAAGACAATGGAAGATTTATTTGATGCATTAACTGAAGGAATAATCGAATCATCTAGCAACGATTATGGTTATTTAATTTATATGTACAGAACTATGTGCAATTTGATTGAAAATTGATCATTCAACATCAATTAAAAAAAAATTCCAAAATCGATGATTCTGGACCCGAAACTGACGGATCCAAAATCGAAACCAGAACCGCCTGGAACCTGTCAAGATGTGGTTTTTTACTGACAGGACCAAAATCGGTCAAGGCAGATCAGTTAACTTATGTGTTGCTAATACACAATGGCTCCTGTCTATGACAACAAAGTCTTCGTAACGAAAATACGCATGCCCTACCAATCTGCTCTGCAACAACATAAGCCAACAAGCAGCACACAAAAAAGCAAAGAAATCATAACACTAACGGACTGCTCAAGAACACATATGTAACGGACAACTCCATCGACGCCCACAGAAGCAAAAGAAACTGAAAAGAACGAAGCCGAATGATCGCATCGGCAAACAAAATAACCAAAGGAATCTCGGCGATGTGATCAAGAACTAGACAACTGGTTCAGCGACAAGAGATGAAGGCATCAAGAAACGCCCAAATCTCAAAATGGACAACTCCTTCGACGCCGACAGAAGCAAAAGAAACTAAAAAGAAAGAATCCAACCGATCGCATCGGAACCCTCATAACCCGAAAACAAAAATGCATCCAAGGAACCCAAAATTTCACAGAAATCATGGATTCAACGATCGATCGATCCATTCCACAACAAGGACGCGAGATCGAATGGGACAACACCATTTGCGAACGAATCTGGAGGAGTTTAGTGATCAAGGGCAAGAGGCTTCGTACCTGAGAGATCGCAACGAAGATGAAGAAGACGATGGCCTGGTTCGGCACCGACTCGTGATCAGTCCCCGCCACCACACCTTCAATTTGAGGCTCCAACGCATTTCCTAATCTTCGAATCCGACGGTCGAGGAGCCCGCTCCCAGTCGTTATCTCCTGGTACTCTGCGTTCGGCTGTTTAGCTCGAACACAATAAGCAGAGATCCTCCACTTATCAACTTACAGGTGACACACCGGACCCATTGCATCAAGCTCTTGCAGAGTTCGCTGTTTTCTTCCGTGCAGCGAGAATGAAGATGATCTCAGATTTAATTAGATTTGGGAGTCGTTTCGAGTCCGAAAACGAAGTCTAGATGGGGCCCAGATGAGGAATCGTATGACGCCGACTCGGATCGGGTAGAGGCCCCGAATGATCGAGACTCGGCCCATTGGTCCAATTTTAGCAGGGCCCAATAGCCAGTGATGGGAGCCACAATTGTAGTCTCAGGCCAACCGTCCAACGCGGTCCATCTCATCCGCTTGCGTCCTCTCGACCGTCCATCCGATTTAAATTTTTATAAATACAACATATATTATCAAAAATAAAATAATGAACTAAAATAAATTAGAGGTGGACTTTGTTGCATTGCATGCTTATGTGCCAAGGTTGACCATCTACAAGTATTCAAAAGTTGTAGAGTTGACCACAAGTAGATCAGAAGACAGGTCAAAACTTGTAATATTAGTAAACCTTTGAACTTGTACTATTATTATCGACAAGAAAAAGAAAAAAGAAAGGGTATTTGGATCAACTTTTTCTTTATAGTATATATTGGACATAAAGTGTGATTTGGAGTTGGATTAAAAGTAAGATACAGTGGGCTTCCCTGTCACAATCTAACCCAGCCAAGATAGCATGTGGAATGCTGCCATCTCTAATCCATATCTCTTCTCCCCCAGTCACCGTCATCCAAACCATCGTAACCACTAAGGCCACTTCTTCCATCTCTCGTCGCTAGGAGCACACTAAGATCCCACTAAACTCCACTAAACCTTGTCAACAATAGCTACTCGGACAACATGATTGCAGAGCCCCGAAAGAGCACTCGAGAGGATAAAGAAATCCATTCCATCTTTGCTTAACTTGAAGCACGCCTCCCAGATAAATCCTCACACTGTGTTGGTTAATGATTGCATCGTGTATCAAAGTCCGTGCCACATTTCTAATTTCAACAAGTGGACAAAGGGATGCAGGAAAGAGCCATTCACTGAGTCTACTTTGAGGTGAATGATCACATGGTCTACAGCAAAACTCTCTCTCTCTCTCTCTCTCTCTCTCTCATCCATTGGATACGCAAAGTTTTATCCAACCTGTAGGCAAAGCATAATCCCATGGCATGTGATTTGCATATTCTATTGTAACCTTACTACACAGCTTCCAGCTCGCAGAGTAGGAGGAGGATTGTGTTAGGTTTGGATTGGTAAGAGAAGGCAAGGAAATAGTGTCATCATGTGATCCTCGCATATGGAACATATTGAAGTTGTAAAAGGTTCAACCCATGTCGAACATTCAATGAACAATCCAAAACAAACAACAAGAACAGTCCTGAATTCAATTCAAACAAAGAAATAACCAAGAAACTTCAGAGTCGGAAGCTGAAGCTGAAGCTGAAGCCAACTCTCACTGTAGATTTTGAGCAGAAAAGGCAGTCAGGTCAATCATCGGAATTCATAATAACTCGCTAAAATCTATCGTTTCTCTCTCCGACACCCGAGTCTCTCTGTTTCAGCGAAAGCCTACAGGAGTATAATGTAGTGTAACCGGTGGAGAGAAAACTAGTAATAGAGACGAACTTACCAAAGCTAGGGGACGAAGCTAAACCGCTACCTAAAAGAGAAGAAGAAGAAGAAGACCCAATCCGTTACAGAGAGACTGCTACCAAAAGGGGAGGTGGCGGGGAAGCGGCGGGGGCCAGGAGCTCCGCCTCCTTCTTTCGGCGCATCTCCAGGACCTTGCGGTGGCTGTTGGAGTGCTTGTGGCTGACGAAGGTGGGGCTGCACGCCGGGCGGTACTCCGGGAGGAGCCGGCCGGACTTGAAACGGACGCCGCAGGCGTTGCATAGGGTCTTGGCGCCGAGCGGGCCGGCCCGCCACTGCGGAGTCTTCTGGGCGCCGCAGTGGCTGCAACGCCGCTCGCCGGAGGCGGTGGACAGCGGCGTTTTGGGCTTCCGGCCGCGTTTCTTCGGCTTCTGCTTCTTGGGCTGCGGGGGATGGTCGTAAAGGAGGAAGCTTTGGTCGACGGCGACCGCGGAGGGGTCGTATATGAGGAAAGGGGAAGAGGAAGACGTCGAGGAGCAAGAAGAGGCGGAGGAGGTGGTGGTGGCGGAGGAGCACGAGGAGGAGTCCGCCAAGGACAGCGGGCCGGACATGGACCAGGCGGCGGTGGCGGTGGCGCTGCGCAAGCGCTTGCTCCGCTTGGCCTTGACTGGGACCTTGGCTTCGGTGGAGAGGGCGCAGACGTTGGGGACCAGGAAGGAAGGGCCTTGACCTTGTGGCTCGGCGGCACGGGCTTGGAGGTTCTCACTCTGGGCGCCGCTCGGCGGCGGAGAAAGGGATGCGACGCCGGAGCACGACGGGAACTCCGAGATAGAGTCGTCGATGATGAAGGAAACCCATTCCAGTTCTGCAGCATCATGCGCCTGAAGGCAGCACAGCAAAACCGCTCGGAATGCATCAAAATCTACCCTTTCTAACATGAAAATCGCAACTATAGTCTTTTATCTTCTATTATTCCAACAACAAATACAACGACACTCACTGGAAGACATATATCCGAAAGCGGCAGCGGAAGCTCGAAGGTGAGACCCGAAGACGAGGAAGAAGAAGAAGAAGAATGCGTTGTTTCGTTATGCGCTTCTCGGGCATCAATTTGGCATACTCTTCCTGCTTCTTCCTCCGCCGCTTCCATCTCGTCCTCCACGAACTCACCGAGATTGAGGAGGTCGTCGACAGAGAACGCCTCACCCATAATATTCCCCCTTTCGACAGCCCAACCCGCCTCCTCACTCAAAACCACCTGGTTCTGCTGCTTCTGCTGCCCTGAGCACAAAATCTCCGGTCTCAAATTAGCATTCACCACTTCCATGTTGCTTTCCTTCTCTCCCTGCAACCCAACCAAACTTTCATAAACCTCCGCATATAACAAGAAGAAGAAGAAGAAAGGAAGAAATACATGTTTGGGGTGTAGAACGAAACATAGTAGCACAAGAAAAGAAGAAAGATTCCGTCTTTTCTTCCATTTCCGTCCCAAATATGTCATTTGTAGCATATTTACTTGCGATCCATCCTACCTGAGAGTAGTGGGAGTATGCCAAGGGAGGAACAGAAGCAGGCCGTGGAGTGCGAAGGGGCAGAGACAGAGAGGGAGAAGAGGAGGTGATGGGCGTTCCGTGTAGCATTGAATAGATGCCAATGCCTATAAGCGAAACAAATGCTCTGTTCCACCCATCCCCAGTCACCTTTCGTACTACTCTTTTTCCACTTAATTTAATTTAATGGCCAGCTCGAAATTTCAGGACGCGATTGCCATTACGCTTCACACATTATTTTCCTCAAACAAAATATGATTTCAGACTCAAAATAATCGAAAATTAGAAATTCCAACATAAATCACCGAGAGCGATTTGGGGCGGACCCATCTCCATTTGGTACATCCCCCCCGTGGCACGTATCTTTTGAGTGACACACTGATTGATGATGGCCTTTTGCCTCCAGGGAGTGAATGGGTTCGACCACTGCTATCTCGGAAGTGAGATTTGTGTGGTCATACTGTTCGTCAAGATTTGTAGCGCGATCCCGACCCCATTCATTCGAATTGGCGGCTCCCACCAAATTGCTACTGGATGGACAGCTTTTTGTTACCGATTCTGTCCTCCATCGTGTCTCAGAATCACGGAAGCATCAAAAGGAAGAAGCGGCAGCTTTTTGTCCCGAGGCAGTCGCCTTAAACGTGTTATCATTTCACATGTCCTCCTCCATTCTTTTCCAGACCAGTAATTGGACACCCAAGGGTGGGGGCATATTAGGCAATACCACACGCGCCAGATTGCATTTGTATCACGCGATGGTAACGGGGGTGGACGTGACGCGTACGAGTTGACGCAAGTGCCCCTCGGATTCCTTGACGCGTCGCTTCGAGGATTCGTTCCGTAGATGACAAGTGAAGTGTGGGTCCGGCGCGCCTCGGAGCGGCCGCCGAGCCGAGGCGCTTTCGGCCGGGCCAGGAGGGTCATTTCACGCTTTCATCTCCCGGGCCGACCGAGTCAAAGCGGCCCAACGTGGCGGCGGCCGGGGTCGCTATCCCAGCCGGGGAGGGACGCCTGGGGAGCCATCAACGGCCGCATCAACTCGCGGCTTAGATTACGAGACTCGTACAAGATAATGAAGGTGGTCTTCGTCACTTGCAACAAGGTTGTTGATTACAAAATCGATCAAACGTGGCATTCACATCACGATTTTGAAACGAATAGAATAAGTAGGTTTCTAACTGCCACATGGGCGGGTACATGTTCGAGTCGGCTGGTCCCGGAACTGGAGACGGTGTGCTTCTTTAGGATTCGTGCACAGAGGAGGATCATCGTACGCCCCGAGAAGTCGAAGCTCGACACTTAGAGTTGGTCCGACACGAAGTCACGTGTCCACGAGCCAAAAGTGTTTCGAAACTGAGAGTTCCGTCGACTGTGAGTCACGTGTCGACGAGACGAAACCGCAGATTCCGGCCATAACGGCCAAATTCTCGCCCCAAAGTGGCCGTCAGTTAAGAAAGGTCACGTGAACGACGGTGGCAACGCCCAACCCTTCGTCTAGCTCACATGCAGCGCACGCCCACCCCCTTTGAACCTTTGTGCTGTTGATTGTGACAGGAGCAAGCGGAGGAGGCAAAGAGGGGAAGAATCAGTATGGTGACGGATAAGAGAAGGCCCAACAAAAAGCCGAAGACGGGTGGTTTGGGTCCAACTCATACATTTGGCTTTTCTCTCTCACAAAGCATAATAATATGTAATTATGCTATATCAAAATATGGAAATAACTTTTATGTTAGAATTTGAATTAAATATATAGATCTAATTATAACGATGCTTATCTTTTAATGTCATCTGTTTAGAGATGTCTGTTTGATCTGCTAAGCATCATCTTTAATCTACGATTGTTGTAAATACCATCTTTAATCCAAGATCGTTGTGGAATCTGTAAGGAGTAGATCCTTTCACAGGACCCAATAAGAGGATGGTTTTTTGGGGAGAGGGTTTAGGGGGAGAGTTGAGTGGAGATAGAGAGGTGCGTCTATACGTGTGTACGTGTTAACGTACCGTGTTATCAGCCCCTAGAGGTCCTGTCTTTTTATAGGCAAGAGCAAATGGTCTATGATAAGATCTTAGGAGATTTCCTCCCATCAAAGTTATATCCTAATGAATCGTTCCGTAAGTAGACTTATATTCTATTGGCAAAAAAAATTCAACGGAACCCAATTAGTTATATTATACATCTTATCCAATTATAAAATGACCATAAAATCTTGGAAAAGTGTAAAGCAATCACTTATTGCATCATCAACAATGGAAGTTGAATTTGTGGCATGCTTTGAGGCCACAAATCAAGTTTTATGACTGTAAAATTTCATCTCGGGACTTGGTATGATCAACTTATTTGCCAGACCGCTAAAGATATTTTGTGATAACACCGCAGCAATTTTCTTCTCTAAGAATGACAAGTACTCTAGTGGTTCCAAGTACATTGAGATAAAGTACTTTGTAGTTAGAGAATGAGTCCAGAAATAGCAAGTGTCAATTGAGGACTTGAGCACCACTATGATGATTGCTGATCTATTGACAAAAGCTTTACAGTGTAAAATATTCAAAGAATATGTTCTTAGAATGGGGCTTGTGAGCAAGTTATAAAGGATATGGTGATGCATGTTTATGTGGATGCTATTATTGACATTCTTCTTGCTTAATTAAAGTTATATGTTTCTGCTATCCTGTTTACATTTATGTTTATGCATATTATGATTGAATGTAATAATAGAAGTATCTTGACAAGAAAAATTACAAGGGTCATTATGAACTATATTAAGAAAGACTGACAATGTTGTGGTACAAAAAGGGAGTATGACATTGATGAAATACAACTGCTATAACTCGCATTGATAGTTGGACTTAATATAGTATTATTGTGTTTATTGGACTTATTGGCTTATTTTAAAATATAGCCATGTATAAAATATTTTTCAAAAATTCTTTGGAATCTAATTAGGTAAAATTATTTTTTACCTAATACATGAAAAGTCTAAAGTCATTGATACTCTTGAAGTGTACATAAATGAGTTTGAGAGACAATTAGATAAAAAAGTTAAAATTGTTAGATCTAATAGAGGTGGTGAATTTTATGGTAGATACGATGGATCTGGTCAAAATATTGGCCATTTTGCTAGATTCTTAGCATAATGGGGTATTTGTGCTCAATATGCATTACTAGATGTGCCACAGCAGAATGGTATTGCTGAAAGGTAAAATCGTACTCTAATGGATATGGTTGGGAGCATGATGAGTTATTCTTCTGTACCTAAGTCGATGTGGGTGAAGCTCTTAGGACAGCTATGTACATGTTGAACATGGTTCCTAGTAAATCAGTTTCATCGACTCCATTTGAGTTATGAACCGGTAGGAAGCCCAATCGGAGACATTTACATATTTGGGGATGTCCTGTAGAGATAAGAGTATTCAATCCACATGAAAAGAAATTGGATTCAAGAACTATTTTTAGATATTTTATTGGTTGTCCAAAAAAATCCAAGGGATACAAATTTTATTGCCCTAATGATAGTATGAGAATAGTAAAATCTAGTAATGTAAAATTCCTAGAAAATGATGAAATCAGTTAGAGTGAAAAATCCCGAAGGATTAATTTTGATATTAAGGAGATTCAGGTTAATTCTCCCATATTATGTTCCTCAAATCAATGAGAGTATTGATGAGGGTGAACAACAAAATAACATCAAAGAACTCTCACATAATGTTGATGTCGCCACTAATGATCTTGTAGAATAATCACAATTGGTAGATTTGAGAAGATCTCAAAGGAAAAAGAAATATGTCATTTCTTATGATTATGTGGTATATCTATAAGAATCAAATTATGACATAGGAATAAAAAGAGACCCCTTATCGTTTTCATAAGCCATAGAAAATAACAATTCTGAAAAATGGTATGATGTAATAAAAAAAGAGTTAAAATCAATGGTCCAAAATGGTGTCTGGGATCTCGTTGAATTGCCCAATAATTATAAAAGAGTCGATTGTAAATGGGTCTTTAAGACAAAACACAACTCAACGGGTAATATCGAATGATATAAAGCCAGACTTGTGGCCAAAGGTTTTTCTCAAAAGGAAGGCATCGTCTATAATGAGGCTTTTTCTTTAGTTTCTAGAAAGGACTCATTAAGAATCGTCATAGCATTAGTAGCCCATTATGATCTTGAGTTACATCAAATGGATATGAAAATAGAGTTTCTAAATGGGGATCTGGATGAAGAAATCTATATGGAACAACCTGAAGGATTCATTGAAAAGGGAAAAGAAAGTTGGGCTTGTAAACTTAAGAAATTCATTTATGGCCTTAAACAAGCTTCCTGACAATGGTATATAAAATTTCATAATATCATTACTTTCTTCGGATTTAAGGAAAACACTGTTGATCAGTGTATATACCTGAAGGTAAGTGGGAGCATGTTTATTATATTAGTCTTATATGTGGATGATATTTTACTTGCCAGTAGTGATCTTGGTTTATTGCATGAAACCAAGATATTTCTCAATAAGAACTTTAAGATGGTTAATATTAATGAGACAACCTATGTTATTGACATTGAGATATTTAAATATAGATCTCAAGAATTAGTAGAATTATCTCATAAAGGATATATTGATCGTATCTTGGAAAGATTTAATATGCAGCTTTGCTCAGCCAATGATGTACCTATTACTAGAGGTGAAAAATTCAGTCAAAATCAATGTCCAAGAATTGACTTAGAAAAGAATCAAATGAAGAATATTTCTTATAGATGCACAGTTGGAAGTCTATTATATGCTTAAACCTGTACAAGACCAGGTATTAGTTTTGCAGTTGCAATGTTGGGAAGATACCAAAGCAACCAAGGAATGGAACATTGGAAAGTTACAAAGAAAGTAATAAGATATCTACAAGGGACGAAAGATTATATGCTCACATACAGGAGATCAGATCAGCTTGAAGTGATAGGATATTCAGATGCTGATTTTGCAAATTGCCTCGATAGTAAGAAGTTCACTTCAGGATTTGTATTTATGTTAGTTAGTGGGGCAATTTCTTGAAAAAGTGTAAAGCAATCACTTATTGCATCATGAACAATGGAAGCTGAATTTGTGGCATGCTTTGAGGCCACAAATCAAGCTTTATGGCTATAAAATTTTATCTCGAGACTTGGTGTGGTCGACTCAATTGTCAGGCCGTTGAAGATATTTTGTGATAACACCATAGCAATTTTCTTCTCTAAGAATGACAAGTACTCTAGTGGTTCTAAGTACATTGAGATAAAGTCCTTGGTGGTTAGAGAATGAGTCCAGAAACAACAAATGTCATTTGAGAACTTGAGCATTACTATGATGATTGTTGATTCATTGACCAAAGCCTTACAGTAAAATATTCAAAAAATATATTCTTAGAATGGGGCTTGTAAGCAAGTCATAAAAGATATGGTGATGCATGTTTATGTGGATGCTATTATTGACATTCTTCTTGCTTAATTAAAGTTATTTGTTTCTGCTATCCTGTTTACATTTATGTTTATGCATATTATGATTGAATGTAATAATAGGATTATCTTGACAAGATAAATTACACGGGTCATTATAGACTATATTAGGAAAGACTAACAATTTTGTAGTACAAAAAATGGAGTATGACATTGATGAAATACAACCGCTATGACTCGCATTGATAATTTGACTTAATATAGTATTATTATGTTTATTGGACTTATTGACTTATTTTAAAACATGATCATGTATAAAATGCTTTTAAAAAATTCTTTGAAATCCAATTAGGTGAAATCCAATTCCTTGCAGATTCTGTAGCGATCTTAGATTAAAGACGATGCTTGTAACGATCTTGGATTAAAGACGACAGATCAAACATACATCTCTAAACAGATGACATCAAAAGGTATGCATCGTTATAATTAGATCCATGCATTTGATTCCAATCCTGACATAAAAGTTATTTTCCCTTCATAATGTCCAAGAAAGGATCTACTCGTTGCAGATTTCGTAACGATCTTGAATTAAAGATGGTACTTGTAACGATCTTGGATTAAAGACGACAGGTCAAATATATATCTTGAACAGATGACATAAAAAAGGTATGCATCGTTATAATTACATCTATGCATTTGATTCCAATCCTAACATAAAAGTTATTTTTCCTTCATAACGTCCCAAGTTACATTCTTTCGATGTCTATCTAAAACGATAATATATTTGAAATCCTTTTTAAACGCCGCATGCACACCTTTTTTATGTTTAAACGATCAAATCTCGAGGTATCCTCTGCCTGACTCACATGTATGTGTGCTTCGCACGTGTAACACATGACTGTTATTAAGAAGTGTGACACTATTCCTAATAATTGAGATATGAGATCACTAGTTAGCCAATGAAAACTCAATCATTCATCTCAATCATATATATATATATATATATATATATATATATATATATATATATATATATATATATATATATATATATATATATATATATATATATATATATATATATATATATATATACATATATATATATATATGTGTGTATACATATATATATGTGTGTATACATATATATATGTGTGTGTATACATATATTTATGTGTGTATATATTTATATATATATATGTATACAAATATGTATATGTTTATGTATACATATATGTATATATATATACATATGTATATATGAGTGTGTGTACTGGAACTTTGGGTTAACAAGAGAGAGCTACTACCACTTCTACGGAAAATTAACTTTGATTGTTTTGTATCATTATAATTACTATTATCAAATGATATTTTCTTAAGACTAGAATCTCATGACATGCTGTAAAACCTTATGCAACTTTTCAGATTTTTTATACAATTTACAATTTTCTAAAATGTTTTGTATCTAGCTCGGTTTTTTCAACTGCAGCACTTGTTATGTTGATGTTTCTCTTCTGGCAAATAACTTGTAAATAATATGTCTTCTGAAAAGGAATATGTGATCATCTATTCATTGCACATTGGTTTCGAGGAGGTTGGCAATGTCGATTACTTGCTTATAAACACTTTTCTGCAGAAACTTGAATGTGTTTTTGGCATTCTTCATCTACATTTATTACCTTTTTTCCTAAAATGATTAATTGTATGAGTCAGATTAATTACTTAATGCTTTAATGCAGGGTTCAATGTGGAGACTGTGGAGTACAAGAATATTAGCTTCACTGTTTGGGATGTCGGTGGTCAGGACAAGGTATTGTAATGCCTGTGTAGTTATTTATTTAGTATCATAATGTATTCTTTCATGCTGGCTCATATGAGTTGTTTAGCACCATAGCTTTTGTGGGAGAACTAAATATTCTGAAGGCAAGCTGCTGATTTACGCAAATATTTGACTTGGAAATTTTGCTTGAACATTTGGGTGTTGTTGAACTTTCTTCAGCTTGCAACACTGGACATTTTTATTAAATAAACTTAAGTGGAGTACCATACCCTTGTCTTATAGATATTCTTCAGATGTTTAATTATTTATTACACAATCCTGTTACCTATTTGATAATGTATCTTTTGATATAATCCTGTGAAAAACAGATCAGACCCCTGTGGAGGCATTACTTCCAGAACACACAGGGCCTTATTTTTGTTGTCGACAGCAATGATAGGGATCGTGTTGTTGAGGCAAGGGATGAGCTTCACAGGATGCTTAATGAGGTAAGTTTTCCATTTGGTAATGCCTCTTTTAATCTCTTTGCTTCGCGTTCTCTTTATTATTGAGAAAGCATGTATTAAGTTTGGAGTTGGTATATATTGTATATGCACTCGGCTAAAGTTACCATGCATAAGTGCATGACCATTAGGTACATCATAAATTTATTACTACAAACATGAACAACAACAACAACAACAAAACCATAAGTTTCAACTATTTGGGACCAGCTATATGGATCTTTTGTCGTCATTGAAATCTGTAAAAGATTATATGTTTAATTAAGTTCGGAGTATTTAAATATTTATTTATAGTTTTTATTAAGATTTTTTTAGGTATTCCTCTATCTCTCCTCGTATCATTAACATTAATCATTTCATCTCTTTTGACTACTGTATCCGGACGTCTCTTAAGTATAATTGCTACTACCGACATGAGCACACTTAAATTATCTGTTTGCAGAAGTTAGAATAACTATGTATTCATGCAATTTAAGTTTGAATATTATGTGGGCGCAAGTATTATATTATAATTACCATTGTCATATTGGTAACTATAATGCATACCAATGCTCTCATGATTTGAATTCAATAAAATTGAAATGGACTAAAAGGAGTTCCTTTTGTTTGGAACAAACTTTGTTATGAAGTATTTTTATATTAATAAAAGAACATCGGTTAGAGTTTGTTTTTCTGGTGAAGATTGATCTGTTTTCTTTTTTACTTGCAAACTGATTTCTCTCTACAAAAGACAACATGGAAATCGTTTTTTTTTTGTTAACCAGTTGTGCTTGCTGGAATAAATCCCAAACTAGAAACTTATGGAAACATGTAAATGCAGTTCTTCAACAAAAAATAACTTGGTTTTCTTGTGTTTTTGCTTGTTAAATGTTTACATTTTGCTATTTATAGTGTTTTAACCAAAATCATTCATGTAATGTGTTCTTTTCTAATAAAATTATGTACTAAGATATAGTTCAAGATATCTTAGTTATTTACGTGTTTAGTATTGTCATGTATGGTTATAAAGTGGCAAATTCAATATTTGAATATCACCAAACTGGTTTCTGGTAAAGTATGATGCTTCCTTCTAGAATCCTGAAATGTTAAAGATGGTTACTTGGAACAGGAAGAAGTTAATATTCAACATTTTAAATGGTATTATATATCATTATGAAGTCTGAATAACTTCTTTGATTAAAGCATCTCATTTTATAGTGTTTCTTTCTTTTCCTCCCCTCCACCAATGAAAACCAACCTCCTATTTTCCATGTGATACTTGGTGACTTCATATTTAATCCAGCTGTATGATGTTCAATTCTGAATTTTCCCTTGCCTGTTATAGCTTTGATTTTTGTATTGATAGGATGAGTTGCGGGATGCTGTTTTGCTTGTTTTTGCTAACAAACAAGATCTTCCAAATGCAATGAATGCTGCTGAAATCACTGACAAGCTTGGTCTGCATTCCCTTCGCCAACGACACTGGTACAACACTTTTTCTCTTGTTTTCTTTTTACCAAAAACATCTTGAAGAACTTGTTTAGAATCTAAAATAGATAATAAAATCTCATGGGTGTGTAAGTATAATATTTAATATTAAGGAGGTTGCATGTGTTGTCTAACATGGTATGTTCTTTGTGATTTACCTCAGGTACATCCAAAGCACCTGCGCTACATCTGGTGAGGGTTTGTACGAGGGGCTGGATTGGCTCTCCAGCAACATTGCCAGCAAGGTACCTTCTCTATTATTTTCATTTATAGGCATAGCATTTGGTTGTTAATGCATGCATAGTTTCTTTTTGACATAAGACTTGTACTAGCTCCCTCTGCTTATATTGGAAAACATGTTTTACTTAATCTAAAAGAATTGTATTCAGCTGAAACACGTCTGTTGTGTTTTTGCTTAACAGGCTTAAATTTCCAGGAGAACATGAGTTGAGATAATTCTCCCACTATGCTAGTCTTGAATGCTTTTTGGACGTGAGCCAACAGAACTTTTAGAGTGACCTGTGTGGGTTATTTCACCTCAGCCTTTGTATTTTAAAACGTCACAACTTTTGCTTGTCCAGAAATATAGATGTATTTGCTACCTGCCTTATTTGTTGGTTTCTAGTTAATTATTATCTAACAGATGATTTGCTTGAGTTATTACTCGTGGATAATCTATTTATGGGCTACTTCTTGCAGGCCTTTCACTAGTATTTTGTTTTCATGTCGAATCTGCTTTACGTCGTCACTTATACTGGACAGGCACAAGTTGTGCACAAGTAGATTGATTTGAACTTGGTTGCAATTTTAGCTTTGCTTTTGCTTGTAATTGTTTTAACCGAAGTTTTGGGAAAAGAAACCACAAATTTTCTTTTAGCTTGAGAGTTTTGATCCTGTTCATCTTCATAGTTTCAAGAACCAGTGTTCACATGGCTGTGCTATGGATGCCAGTTGAGCTGTGGAGATAGTTATCTCCATGTCTGTAACGGTTATTTCTTACTAGTGTTCACATATCTTTGAGTGGATGATGGACGAGATGGCCTATAGAACCTTTTAAAGGGAATAAAAACAATGCAATTGCTGATAGGAAACATAGGATAGGAGTCAGGATCGTCGCCTCAAATTCAATTGCAGAAATACGAATGCTCCATGGTGTCATCCTTCACGAGAATTAAACTCATCTTGGTTTTACTTATCCTCCCGAGGAGGCGAAGAAAAAGGATCTTTGTTCATATCCTGGGGGCAGAATAAAGCATGCATCGAGCAGGTAATATAGCATCAATATCCATGTAAATTAAACAAAAACACACTGCGTTATTCAACAGTATATTAGACCACATCAACAACATTACTTGGATATTTCAATCAGGAAGGTCACAGAGAGTATCATCATCCTTGATTCTCTTTGCTAGCCATTCCCCTGTTCTTCACCGGAGTTTGCACCAGATTCAATATAAGAGAATCGTTAGTTATTACTGAAATGAGAATATTGGGATGATGGATGTATCGAGTTATTAAAAATATATTTTTTAGTAAGATTAAATATATATTGACTGAACAATGATAAAATATCATATAGCCATCCTTAATAGTTGTTTTTATTGAATATATGATCATCCAAATGTGTGTTTTATGTGTATAGTAAATATCTTTACCTTTTCGTTGTATTATTTGACGGTGATGAAACGTCTACAGTGAAACTTAACGGCCGGGAGACGAGTAAAAGAATGACTAGATAACCGGATCGAGCATCGGCAATCCTTATCCGATCCGAGACCGTCAATTTTGATCCAATAATTGTGTACCCAGACACCCGATCTCTAGATGGGTCGGATCAACATCACCCGCACCCGATCTCCGTCCGTCCACACACCGTTAGACCAGAAATTGAAGGTGCTAAATCCTCTTCGTCTCTGGGTCGCCCCTTCCACCGTCACCGGAGGTTGCCTCTCCGCCACCAGCTCCTTCGACTGCGAGCAAGGAGAAACAACCGTCAAGGTTTTTCCTCTTTCTTTTGCTAGTTTTGTGGATTTCTTGAGGGAACCGAACGTGGGTCTTGGTTTGTTGCGTTATTGCTGAATTAGACAAATCTTGACCTGTACGTCTGTTCTTTGTTGTTGATTTTGATTGCACTTTGTTGTTCGGGGATACGTTTGGAACCCAAAAGCCGGATTCTTGGAACAATTTGCCTTTGGGACATGGGTTTTGGGAGATGAAACCCAAGAAAGAGATTTTTGAGAGAGAATCTGCCTCTCCTCTTAAGCTTGGGCTTTGGATTGGGTTCCAGTTGTTGTTTGCTTATTCTCTTCGGCTTTTTGGTTCTTTGTTGGTAGTAATTTGATTGAATTGAGTGGTAGATATCCATTTATTGTGATTCTATAGACTCTCCCATCCCCCTTTCTCCCTAGCCGCTTCCTGTAGGACTCACTCCCACCTCCAGCTACACATCAGCCAGTCCCCACCGGGTTGCTTTCGCTTGCTCTCTGGTGTACGACTTTGTGTGCTCTGTACTTAATCGTTATGTAATGGAAAACGATTCCTCTTCTTTAATTTCTGCATGATTTATGTGTAGGGAAATGGGCGCAAAGGCAAAGAAGGCTTTGAAAAAGAAGCTGAAGAAGTCGAGTTTTTCTCAGTTGTCAATTTCTCGTCACACAAATGAATCTTCTGATTTCTTGGTCCGATTTTTATGTTTGTGGTCTATCCCTCCTTTTGTTGTAGCTTTGTTGGACATCTTGTTTTGACTAATTTGTTACTTTTAATTTACAGCCTTTAGAAGGAGGGCCAGGGAGGAAAATTACTCAGGAAGAAGATGAGCCTGTCAAAAATACTGCAACAGTACTGTACATCGGTCACATTCCTCATGGGTTTTACGAAGAACAAATGGAAGGTTAGGATCCTTTCTGCTCTACTAGAATTTTCTTTTAATGATTTAGATTGATATATATGCTGTTTAACCATGTTAGGATTTTTCAAGCAATTTGGAAAAATCAAGCATTTGAGGATTGCTCGTAACAGGAAGGTACATATTGTCCCCGTTGGTTGTTGTTCGATCAGTGAATTAATTTTGCATGTTTCTCTTTTTTATATCTATAATTAAAAGGTGGCTTACCATATGAGGCTCCCACCAATGTTGGTCTAGGAAGGGATAATGTACACAGTCCTATCCTTGCAAGTAAAGAGACTATTTATGTGCCTCGAATCTTGATCGCCCATGTTGCATGGGATCAATTAATTTGTCATGCTAAATAAAATTGCTGTAGTTATACTTTTGAGCTAAATACTTATAGCATCGTCTTATGTTCTTAAGAAATCTTCTTTGGCATTTTTAAATTGTTTTTAACTTTTGCATGATTGTCTTTTTGGGTTATGAAAACCTATATTTTCAACTTTTCAATTTGACATTTTAGATTTATTTTATGGATAGCTTACTAAAATTCTGTTGGGCACTTTTTACGTTCTACTTAGTTAACACTCTTAATCCATTGGCTTAACCATTATGTGCTATGCTGTAGACAGGAAAATCTAAGCATTATGGATTCATTGAATTTGAAAACCCAGAGGTGATTTTCTTTCCTTGAAAATTGTTAAAATTCTCTCCATTTGCCAAGAAAACTTTATGTTAATATTATGTAGTAAATGCTGATAATTGCAGGTTGCCAAAGTTGTGGCTGATGAGATTCATAATTATCTACTATTTGAACACAACCTTCAGATTCATCTTATCCCACCAGAGCGTGTTCATCCGAAGTTGTAAGCCTCTAGCTCAAATTGACAGTGTCTTTTCAACATGATAGGTTTATGCTAGAGGCAGTTTCCCCATATCGAGTCGCTTTTGTTTGTTCCTTCAACATTGTAATATACATTTGATCGGATCATTTTTCTATTGTGATATATTTCCCATTTGAAGAAAAGGGGAATATGCTGGTTGAAGCTAAATACAGAAATATGACAGATCCATCATTCACAAATGACTAGGAAATGGATCAGTGAATTGAATCTATTTTTTATTTTGCAATTTAGAAGCAATCAATATTTTGTTCATGAGGATTTCTTCTTCTTCACCAGCATCTGTACTTACCCCTTATCATATGGCTACTTCATAGATAAAGTTCTTGTTCATGTGTTCTGGTAACTGTTCCTTTTCCTGTGTTTTTTCTTGTTAGTTTTTTGTTATCAGAACATTTATAGATGTTATATCAGCTGATTGAGTTGGCACCAGAGTATAGGATCTATTATTGGTAGGGATACTATGAGAGTGAGACAGCTTAGATGTGGAAAAATAAGTTATCTTGCAGGTCTCTGACTATCCCATTTTCAGTAGTTTTGAACATTGTCAATATTTTGTTCTCTGCACCCCTTTTTTTAAAAGTTAATTTGTAGTCTTCACTGAAGACTACAAATTAACAGATGCTTGGTTAATAGGACACAGTATCAATGAATGTACATTTAGTGGTTAATAGGACACAGTATCTAAGCCAGCTTAGATATGCTCAATTATATGCTTGGTTCCTACAACACAGTATCAATGAATGTACATTTAGTGGCTTTACTAGGTAAAGGTTTATCTTGTTAATAGGACTATACATGAATCGGCAAAAAAATCAGCAAATGGATTTTTCTGCATATGGTAGTTATGTTTAGAGAACTGATTTAATGTAATTCTAAAGAGAGAAATTTTCATTCCAAGTGTCCTTGTCTTTGAGATTGTTGAAGGGATGAGTGACATTGCATGGAAGTAAAACTTGGCTGTATCCCTGTAATCAAAGCATCCTTTTCTTTTTATTGTATTTGGTACCTGCATTTGGACAAGTCTTTTGGGATAAATATTATGTTCTAACTATTCGTTTTTCTCATAATATTTTAATTTTTTGCTGCAGATGGAGAGGTGTAAATTGGAGATATAATCCATTAAATTGGACAAAAATTGCCAGAAAGCAGCATAACAAGGTGAGATTATGAAAGTAGTTATTCACTGATTTTCACCAAAACTCTAATCCAAATCTGAACTAATCAGAATGCCCTTTGGATGGGATCTGTCAAGATCATATTAATCAGCGGACAAAAGTTTTCATTGTTTTTGTGATTTTTTTTCCGGATATACCTTCAGGAAAGAACAGTTGAAGAACACCAAAGGATGATTAAAGGGATTCTTAAACGAGATGAGAAGCGCCGGAATAGAATCAAGGCTGCTGGTGTTGAATATGAATGCCCAGATCTTGTAAGTGAAAGTGCCAATCTCTTTGAACTTGGTCGATTGAGTTCAATTTATGTTGTTTTCATAAGCAAAATAAAGCGGATAAAATAAAGAAAAAATTTATTGATCTCTTTTTATATTCCCTAGAATTGTGCATATTCAGTGCCCGTTAATTGCCATCTCAGTTACCTGAAACTATAGTTGTTTCGGATGCTTCTGGTTGAAGCTGCGCTATCACTTATCATTTGCAGGGTGAACCTCATTCAACCTTTCTTATTCCATATTGTTTGCTTTCGTGTTTCTTGTGGGTTTTGTAAGCATTCAGAGATGATAATTTACAGCTGACTTGGAGTTCATCTTCTGAGCTAAAGTCATTGACTAAACAAATTGCAAAAGTAGCTTTGCCAAGGAAACTTCATTTAATTTACGCAAGGGAATTCTTTCTTGCATGGTGGCCCAGTTGACGATAAGTGGCGATTATATTTCTACTTTAGGTCTAATGTATGGGCATTGTTACCCTGTAAGGTCCGAACTATCGAGGATCAGTTAAATGATTCTTTCCCACCAGAGTTATGATGATGGCAATATCACTGGTCAAACGAGAATAATAAATTTTATTTTTTGTTTGTTATTTATAATAAAGCTCTCTTATGTCTTCCTCTTCCTTTTATCATCACCCCACCATTTGCATGAACTGTTTTTTGGATATTCCAATGCCATCTTAAATGGTTTTTCCTCATTGTTGCAGCTGAAACCATGATATTTAATTTGGGCCATTTTTAGGCTAGAATGATGTTTGTCAAAGTTGGATGTTATCTTGTTCAAAGTGTTGATGACACGATTAATTATGCTAGAATTCTTGTTCTTTCTTCCTTATTTCCTTTTTCTATCCTACAGTTCAGTCTCCTTCAGCCTGCTGCCAAGAACTAGTTGACTTAGTACTTGCGCTTGAATTATTGTGGTTTCCTTTTATTATTCTCTACAGGTCGGTCTCATTCAGCCTGCTGCCAAGAAAATTAAGTTCGACGAAGAGGACTAGAAATTGATTTGTGGGGAGGCAATCCATATCATCCTACCAGAGAATGGTTTTAGAAATATTGGCCATGTTTGGAATTTGGCTATGAACATGTAGTTGTTGCTGCTTGCTAATCTCAAATTTTGGTCGTCAAGTGACAGAAGTGCTGCGAAGAAATGCAACTGAATGTTTGTTTTATACTTGAAATTTAGCTATATAGTGTAATGACAAAAACACTCACTCAATCTTGATGTCATTTGTAAACCTGAGACAATGCCTGTGTTACAGCTTTCATCTGAACACAACAATATGTTTTAACTATGACATTAAGTATAAAAGCAAATCTTGCAGATAACCAGTTGCTACTTTATGATCATGGCCACAGCACGAATTTACATAGTGGATGTTGCCTGAAAGCTCTTGTTTTCTGGTTACAAACATGCCTACTCTCTTGTTCTTAGATTCTTTCAAGTAACTTGAACTGAAATCTCTGTCCAGCTAACATATGGTAACATTTTGTGGTTAGTCTGGCAAATTCTGATTTCATTGTACATATCACTGTTTGCTGATACCAAAATTGCAGTGTGTGGAAAGCTCAAGTGGTTGTCCAGCATAAAGTAATTACTATAGAGCAGTAATCTTGAGGTATATATCAAGGTTCATTGTACCGTACTGGCGTTTCGACTCGGTACGATATCGGTGTATCGGGTGGTACATCAGGGCGTACCGAGCGATATACCTTGGTGTACCGAATAATTTTATATCTTTTTCATACTGTAGTAATAGTATAGCACTATAGCACTATAGCGATATCGAGCGATCCGCGTATCGGTAATCTGTCGGATCGGTACGTATTGTTCGGTATGGGCGGTATGCTTCGGTACGACAGACCTACTATATACTGAATATTTAATCTTTATCAATGGACATGATGCATATATATACTGAATATATATATATATATATATATATATATATATATATAT